GAAATTTCAGTAATTATCTTATGTAATCTTGTGTAAATATTATATTCAAATATTAGGAAATCATCTTTTATAATATTCCGTTTGGTGTAGTATAATATTCGTCTATATCTATATTACTATTGAGTTTATGTTAAATAGTCAAAACCCTAGGTTTTTTTGCTATATATACGTATTCTTTCACACATCTCTGCATATTGTGATAATTTAGATTTGCTAATTTAGTTTTTCTCTCGCTTTTGTATTTATTTACACTATATTAATTTTGTTGTTTTTTATGATTTTTTTATTGTTATTTTTCTTTTACAGCCGAATTTCTATTCAATTATTCCAAGGTACGTAGTTTTAGTGTTTTTTTTTGTTAAAGGCTTTTCTTGAATATAATAAATAGAGTTTACAAAGAGAGGTGATGAAACCACTCATCTAATACATCAGAAGGATACTACAAACACATGGGAAAAAAAAAAGAAGATGACGAGAAAGAAATTCCAAATTTTAACCATGAAGATGATGATACAAGCAATGCATAGGAAGAAGTATATGCCATCATCAAGGGGGCTGAAACTGGAAGGAAGAGGGACGGGCCCAACAAGGGGAGAGCGAAGCACGATATGGGAATTGAAGATCCAGACTTTGTGCCTTGTTTCTTACAACAGAGAGGACCTTTGAGAAGATCCTCCTTGGAGATAGAGTAATGCCATTATGATAACGCCGGTTCCGCTCGAGCCATATTTCATATACACAAGCCTGCCAACCTTGTAACAAAGCCAAAGAAAATACTTTGTCCGGATTTGCCGTCGGTAGCCATTGTAAGATATCATCCCAATCGAAAGGAGGGGTGTAAGAAAGTAACCTGTCAACCGTAGCTACCCACACCGCCTTTGAATATGTACAAAGGAAGAATAAATGATTACGTGATTCATTCTCCATCCCACATAAAAAACACATTTGTTCTACATCACAACCCCATCTACGTAGACGATCCAAAGTAGGATTGCGATTTAGCACAAAAAGCCAAACCGTGAAAGCATGTTTAGGGATCCTAGCTTTGTTCCACACTTGCGAGAACCAAGAAACCATATGACGTGCCTCACGAATCACAGTCCAAGTCTTTTTTGAGGAGAAAGTCTTTTGCACAGAACCATCAATTAACCACTTAGGCTGATCACTCATTGAAAGCGGATGGATCGTAGAGATGAAAGCAAGAAGCTCTACCTGATTCTCAGTCCTTGCAGCTGGCAAACTCCATCCATCCTCTGAGATAAGTTCACTAACTGTTGAAAACAAAGGGATACCTAGCCGAGAAGGTCCATCTTGTCCAAGATAGTGAATTAGTGAGCCAAAGGGAGTCCACGGATCCCACCAGAAGAATGTGTCATCCCCATTCCCTATCTTAATCCTGAGAAAAGAATAGGCCATGGTTCTCAACTGTAAAATTTTCCGGAACATCCAAGAGAAACGATAGTTTTTCTCATTGAGCGCCCGAAAAGAAGAATAGAAATATATTTTCTTCGTATCGCTACCCAAATTGACAAGTTTTAGTGTTTATTATTGGATTGTTTATTTGTGTCGGTTATTCTAAAAACCTAGGTATTCTTTTTATGGTGTCTTATAACCTATATGGTCGTCTTCTATTTTTCCTAAGTTATATGGCTGTCTTCGAGGTATC